TCGCTTACGTAGGACATTGCCTTAAAGTTCTGCATGACAACAGATCTTCAAAATATAAGTCAAGTTTGTTTAGAATGGTAACTGGAGAAGGTACACAATAGCATAACATCTTTTAATTTCATAACCATTTTCCACAGCCACATTTAGCACAGATACTTGAAAAGTCCCAACCACAACACCAGTTAATTATGTTCCAATATGCACATCACCTTGCACTATAATGCTTAATTCATCACTTAAGAAAAATAATTTGTTACGAGAATGCCACATTCACAAATACCTAGCAGGGTGTACCATCAATTACCTACTAATTATATGACTGCAGCTAGCCAAGCAGGACAGCATCATGCAGTATGTTTGTGCCTGAAACTGGCCAAGCCCACATAGCGTTGAAAGACCTTCATAAACACACACACACATAAAAAAAACTACTTCACACACACGTGGAAGAGCGCCCGAATACAAAAGTGACTTTATGGTATTAATAATCTCTACAAATGATACAATTTCCAAAAAAGAACATTGCAGATGTATAATCATGTACATTTCTGTTATCTGAAGAAGCACAAATTTTGTAAAATCAACAAACCACAGAAATGTAAGATCAGATAAAATGATATTACCTTTGTAGTACTTTATCTTGTACGTATGCCAGTTATCCTTGGATGTCTTCCACTCTTCAAATTCTGGTAGTGAGTAAAATGAGAACTCTTCTGAGCCTTTTGTTGCTTTCACAATAGGAGTAATAAATTCCTCAAGGAATGGCAATTTCAAGAGGGATGGCCAGTTGTGATGGATAAAGTTGATCAGAAGACCTTTTATATGAGATCCATCCTGATCCTGATCTGTCATTATCATAAGCTTTCCATATCTCAGGGTTTTCAGATCATCTAAGCATTCGTATTTCTTTTTGTATTGTAGACCGAGGATCTTCACAACATTATTAATCTCCTGATTATCTACAATCTGAAATACAATATTGATTACTAAGAAAGAAAATAATCTGTCATTACAGCTTAAATACTTTGGATAATTGTAATGAATTTTAAGTCTTCTCATCACGAGACAGGACAGAATCATAAAATAACAAGTTCATAAGTACCCTGAAAATGTAGCAACGTTTATATATCTGGAAATAAAGATATATCAAAATTCCACTTAGAAGGAAATGAAGAGCAAATTTAACATGGAATGTGCTTGAACTCATTAGAGTGATCAGATGAAGGAAGAGAAATACATACAAAATTTTGAAGATTTCTGTCTTCTGGGTTTTACTGCCTCCATTATCAGGGCCCTGATGATGGAGACAGTATGACTTCTGAAACGTTGGTTAACATCGGCCAGACTGCACAGCGCAACAACCCAGAAGACAGAAATGTTCATACTCACCGCTGTGAAAACCTCAAATCTTACATACAAAATTTTGTTTGAAAAACCTGAAGAGAAAAGACCACTTGTGACACCTACGATGTGACACCTACGATGATATTAGGTAAGACATCTTAAGGAAATAAATTGTGAAGGTTTGAACCTTACAAAAGACCAAGAATTATGTAATTCCTTAAAACAATTACCAGAATATCAACAAACAATTACAAATCTTGAACAGTTACCTGCTTGTGTGATGCCTCCCTAACATTCAACAATTTACCACGAAGTGGGAACACTCCATATTTGTCTCTCCCAACTACACCAAGACCAGACACAGCCAGCGTTTTGGCTGAGTCTCCTTCAGTGAGGATTAATGTACAGTCCAATGAATTCCTAGTGCCTGCATCATTTGCATCTTCCAACTTTGGAACTCCTATGTACACAACGGGTTTATCAAGTTACAGAAGAATATTTTTCAAATGCCATATAAAGTAAAGGCAAAGACTATTAAGCACTGCAAAAGCTACATAACATAGAATAGCACAACCAATGCATAGTAAAGAGGAAAGCAATAATGTAAAAAGGAAAAGTTATACGTCACCACAGATGATGGAAACGGACTGATAAACCAAAAGAAAATTGTAATATTGATATTCACTGTGATCAGACATAAGGTTGTGGTTGTGGAAGAGTGGAGGCTGGGAAGAGATTAATCACAAACAAAATAAGAAAAATAAAGGGATAATAGCATTATAAAAGAGGAGGCTAGGGCTCGATTTTGGGCTTTTACGCCATAGTAGTAGTAGTAGTAGTAGCATTATACAAAGTAACTTAATGTATTATGTTTAAAAGTTTCACTTGATTCTCACAATAAACAGCAAAAATTGAGACTAAACTTTGTGATGGTGATGCTGCGTTTCCTTGGAAGTTGGCACCCAATAATTGGATTAGATTTGCCCTTTAAGAGCTAAAATTAGTTTGTAGGAACAGACATAATTACAGTTAAATCTCCATGTAGTGGAAGTCAAGAGACATACATTTCTTAAACTCTGTAGTAGAGGAATTCCCTAGTCACATATTACACTATAACAAAATGTACCATACTGAATTACGCTTGATTTTCTATCGCTATAATTACTGTAATTCCCACACTTCCGTACACACCATAGAGCATAATAGATTTAGTACGGTAGTATCCTACAATATGCCAATATTCCACTCTACCCAGCACATCAAAACAAAACACAAACATAAAAATTAAATACATCAAAACTGGTACATTTCACTTTTCACAAAAAGTAACTGTGGGGATGAGAAGAGAAAGCTCTTTTACATAAGTAATTACTGTACATAACAGTAACATAAATATAACCTTTCAATTTGTTCTGCTTCTTGCCACTGCACTGCTTCTGAAGCTGAGTTGCTGCTTTTAATTTTGCCCATGTCAACACAGCTTCCACAATTCCACATTTGGTAACCTAAAAAATTAAAACATTAACAGATCATAAATACAATCTCTGTATTGAACCAATAAATATTAAGGCACAATTCTGTTACAGCTTGTGAATACTTCACTGTAAAGAAACTGATATTTTCAGAAGCAAAAAGTCAAAGTTAATAAGTAGAATAGAGTTTAATACCCTGTACTACAGTGGTCCCCAACCTTTTTGTGCCTATGGGCACATTTGAGAGTTTATGAGACCTTTTTTTTTGCAATCAAAAATACATACTTTTATAAGTACAATTATTATTACTCAAGTGGGAAGTTAGTGTGATGTTTGGCGCTGCATTTCATCAGCCAGTTTTTCAAATTTGGAAGTGTAGGATGATGTTGCTGCTCGCAAACAATCGTCAAGATGGGCGTCAGTAAGTCGAGATCTGCGCTTTGATTTTATAATGTTCATGGTTGAACGGCCTTCATTATTCAGTATAACCTCTTTCCGTAACAACGCGGGCACTCAAAAAAGCCTTGACGGGCGCCACGGTGCCCGCGGGCACCAAGTTGGGGACCACTGCTGTACTCATTCATTATTCCTCACTTCTTTATTACATGAACAAGTGTCTTGACTGAACTGTACATAAAATGCTGCAATATATATACATATCACTTACACTGGTAATGAATTTGTCCGACAGACTACATTTTGAACCAAAGCTCTTTGCTTGAAGAGTCATATGTTCTTTAGTCTGCGAATCAAATGTAGGATTCACAATCAAACAATTAACAAACACCCAAAGATGATTCTTCACTTGGTGTGGTTTAATTTGTAGGCCACCCTTATTCTTCTTCTTCAAGGTTTCTATAAGCTGTTTGACTATAACATCAGTAACATGATCCACATGACGTCCACCCTGCAGGAAAACAACAAAATCAGGAGTCTAAACTTACACAAGATTATAAATAAAACCTGAATTACAGATTAAAAAATTAGACTGGGATGGCTTCCAGTGGTTTTAACCTGAGTACGAAGTGGCACATGTGCATCATTCGTTAAACATGGCTGCTGTCCTTGATGTTCGACAGAAACAACGTGCTGTTATGTAGTTCCTGGTGTGTGAGAACAAGACAGTGGGAAACATCCACGAGCGATTGCAGAAGGTGTACGGGGAACGTACTGTCGATTGCAGCAGTTAGCCACTGGGCACAAAGAACATCAAAGGTGGACATGCAAACATTCATGACTTGCCGCAAAGTTTGAGGATGATTACTCCCTTGTGGCATTTGTGAAAAAAAGTGGCTCAAAAGCGCTGATCCTGAGTTTTACCATGCGGGCATATATGCCCTTGCTCCGAGGTGGGATAAGGCAGTTGAAAGAGAGAGAGATAGAGAATACATTGAAATGCAGAATTTTGTTCCTAAAGGCTGTACCTATACACAGTGTGAATAGCAAAGTCATAAAATAAAAATTGATTTTAAAAAAAAATATGGTGCATTAATTTTGGAATGACCCTCATATATACAGCATATTAAAACAAATTGGAGGTACAGCAGATCCCTCAGGCAAAGACAAAGATCGGTCTCTTACCTTTGTGGTAGCAATACTGTTCACAAAAGACACCTGCTGAAATCCTCTGTCCGATAAGGCCACTGCAACCTCCCATCTTGGATTTACACTTTCATATGAGCATTTCAGTTGGTTTCCCATTTCATCTTCCTTCCCCTTCAGGTACAGTTCTACATACTCCTTGAAGGACTTCACCTAAATAACAGATGCATTAAATAAGTAATGTAAGGTCTGGCAATATT